TGTAAATAAAACTGTGAAAATATTGTCTTTGTTAAAATTTATATGTTTATATGTATAAAAATGCGATGCTGGAAAATTTGGTGATCAAAAGTATCTTTTTTTGGTGATCATTTGTATCTAAAAAATTTGGTGATCAAAAGTATCTTTTTTTGGTGATCAAAAGTACATTTACTCATAATTAAATATTTTAAAACTAGGCAATGAATTTTTCGATAATGCATATCTAGACATGTGCATACCAAAATGAAGAGAAGCATTAGTTAAAGAAATAGACTTGAACAGGTTTATAGTTGTGGTCGCTAGACTAGCGAACGTCTTCTTTCTCTCAACATTTGAAAATATTTCTGAACATCTTTTAGAAACCTACTTTACTGCATCCCAGCTTGTTGGTATGTTTTCATTGTATTCATTGGGATATAATTTTAACAGATTGCATGTTAAACCGATAGTAACATTGCTAAGTGCACGACGAATTTTGTATATCATCAACAAAGATGCCCAATCCTTTTTTGTTGGAATAATACGGCGTTCATATTCTATATAAAGAATACAAACAGTCATATACTATTACACACGTTTCTAAGAAAATGATGCACGTATTGGAGAAGAACAATACAAATCTGGCACAATTAATTAATGCCTGATGTCGAATGAAGTCACTATAAATAGGAAGTATTAAAAATAGAATTAGAAAAGGTTTTTCTTTTTTCTCACACTTTTTCTGAAGCAGCCATCATGAGCAAGAATATCGTGTCTAAGCTTTCTGTTCTAGAATCAAACTAAGTCTTTAACAAATCACCTATTTTCATTTAGTCCAGTTAGTGATGCCACAAATCAGGAACGATAAAAAGTGGCGTTGGGCTCCTTAGAGCCAAAAAAGAATAGCAGAAGCTAAGTAAATATACCACATGCCATTATTAACACAACCTTTACTCTGCAAAATATGAAAATATCTGCAAATTCTTGAAGAATTTTATTTCCTTGTGTGCACCATTTTCGAAGAAACTTATATATCAAAATCTGTCAACTTAGTGCGTTTTCCAGTTCAGGTTTATCAAATAAACGCGTTGAATATATTCTGAAAATACTATCGTCATCTAAATTAAATTAAATAAAGACTTCTGAGAGCACATTAAGTTTGTTTGTTTCACTTACATAATGAATCATTCCCTTCATTGTCAATGACCATATGACCACTTCCAGAAGGTGGAAGCTGTGGTATTTCCATTAAATTAGCTTCATTTTCATCTCTGCCGTGCAGCTTATCAATATATGTAGGGTTTTGCTTTCGAATGATAAGTGCACGACGGCGCCAATTGACCGCTGTTGTAGGCATGTAAGATTTTAATAGACGAGTGATAAAATGTTCATAAAGTTTTTATCTGAAATGGACAAAAAAATAACCTTTGCTCTCTTATATTAAAAACATTGAAGAAAAGTCATTTTAAAACTCTTCGATACTAGGTATATCCTTACAATGCAAACTGTTCATTCTTAAAAAGTATTTAAGATACGCAAAATACAACCAGACAAGATTAGAGAATAAGTTGTTTCGCTGCAAGTATCTCGCTATTGCAGTCACTCCTTCATTTTTCGAGTTAATCTGTAGTCCTCGTTAGTTACAAGAAACACGAAATACTTTCGTCAGCTTTTATTCAAGTAGCAAGAGCAGGTTCCAAAAGAGAAATTCTGACAAACAACTAACTGTATTTCTATCACACACACATAGATACAGTTTCACACGCAAAACATATAAGAGCCCGAAGGTCAACATAAACACACAGATATATAAATCAAACGTGCAACGTTAAAACTATTATTGTTACTATTATTCTTATTGTAATTATATTATATTTCATACCCATCATCGTCCTCTTCTTTATTGTCTCTATTATTTTTTATCTTTTGTTGTACATATCCCAAATTAATTTCATCTTTATTTTGTATATTATCATTCTTGTTTTCTTTATCATTTAAGGATAAAGATTGTAGTGATGAACGTTTTATATCATTTAAGTTTTTTGCTGCTGAAGCATGTGAAAGATCTTTTTGACGATTTACACCACGAGTATTTCGACAGAATGAACCAATAACAGCACTGAATGATGTACGAAATTTCTTAATGTCATTGCCAACATCTCTGTAATGTGTATCAGCAACATAGCCTAAATGACATAAAAACTAACCTAGGTAAACATATAGAATCTACATTTTACTAAATGAAGATACTAAATTTTTTTAAAACTCTATGAAATTCTCATAAAAACGCAGTTAGAGTTATTACCTTTTGATGATTTTTCATGTAGCAGAGTAGAAAAAGACTTAGAATATTTTGAAAATAGTATTCTGATGAAGAAAACCGACTGAAACATTCAATTAATTAACAAGATTGCATTTTAAAGTTGGAGCTAAACTACAGGGAAATAATCCAAACTAAACTACATACTAAATATTTGTTCTATTAAAGCTTTGTTTAAATTTAATAACGATGTGTAATTTTGTTGTGAAAGATCCACATCGGGAAACAATTGATAATCATTGCTCGTGTCGTTTCCTGCCACGATGTTCCGTTACATTCTGCTAATTGTTTTGGTGTTGAAGGCAATTTATTATGCATCTGAAAGACGAGAACATCTAGTATTTAAACGAAAATATGAATAATAGTTTTCCTACTTTTAGTAAAGCTGAACTATTTGTTGCGTGCTTTTGTACAGTTGCACGCTGCAGTATTGTTCCGAAATATGAAACATGTGATGTTGGAGGTGGTGCTAAAAAATCACAATTAAATGGAAAATAAAAGGCAGAAAGTTGCTCTTTTGGCTTTGAAAACACTTTAGATATGTAAAAATCTTTTATTTAAAAAGCAACATGCGAATGTAAGTAGCCGTTATTTCGGCATTTTTTTCTTTCAAATGTGTAATTTCGGCACGAAGATTGGCAACTATCATTTCACACATTATATTTTTGCAACCTACAGATAAAAAACATAATTTCGCTCTAAATTCATTTCTAACCACTTAAGCGCTAGTAATATTTCATAGTGAAGCCTACTGTAAAAGACTCAGTAAAACTTTTTAGAAAAATAAGACTTATTAAAGATAAGTTATCATACAAAATAGGTTTTGTTCATAGCTTTTCTGATCTTTTTTTACTAGGGACTAGTACTGGAGTTGATTAAGTTTATGAAAAGCTGCCAGCTTATATAGATCTTGGTGAAAACTGATGATTCTACATTTTTAGCAAAGTCTAGTAAACGTGGTTGCCTGTATCAATTTGATCGACTCTAGAAGTGTTATCTGTTTGAAAAAAGAATGCCAACGGCTGTTTCTAATTGAATCGAAAACGCGAAGAGCGGTCGAGAAACAGTTTAGACGCGCAGATCGAAAGGTCTGACGAGGGAACCTCTCCAGCATATAAATCGCTTTTGAGATGAGACTCATCTCATTAAGTAGGGACTATAGAGACTAGGCAAAGCCTAAAATGATTCGTGCCCTTGGTGTTTTATTCTTGAGATATCGAATTTTTACTGACGCTTTTAACAGAAAGCTGTGGTCTTCCTCAGGTCACCTTGAAAATCAAATTTCGAGTTTTGACTTGAAACTTTGCACAAATAAAGCTCTCAACGAGACTAGTTCAATGTGAAGGTCTCACTTATTTTAGTATCTTCTATTCTGAGAGATGACTATAAGAAAACAACTGCTTGCAACAGTATTACTATTTATTTCTTGTATGTTAAAATAAAGCAACAGAATTGTTTTTGTTTGATTTTAATCTAAAAACAAACGGCTCATTTTTCTCCTCATTCTTCACAATAAAAAGGGGAGAGAATGCGAGAAAAGTTTTTCAACAATTAGAATTCTTTTTCTTACCGCCAGTTTTACTTTTCGAATCTGAACTAATACTTACAGTAGTACTCTTCTCGCCTACATGAACTCTTATACAGTGACTAACATCGTCGAAGGCGGTCCCCAAATGTGTGAAGTAATTAAAAATGGCGCTGAAAATAATCGTCCTGTTGTCAATACTACACTCTAAAAAAAAATCCGCCTTATTCTAACCGTCTTACTCCTAAATTGGTCTAACTTTTTCTCTTCCGTCTTATTTGAAGACAGACGAACCTATCAGTCTTATTTATAAGACCGAAGAAAGGATAGTTTGAAGACGGATAGTTAATACAGCATATTATGTCCGTGTTGTTTTAAGACTGAAGAGCCAAGCGACTTATTTTAAGACGGATATCCGCCATGGTTTAGTAGGCTAAGTTGCTGGGCTCAAAAGCATCACTGGCTGTGAGGTTCGAATCTACTTCTAACCCAACGTTTTTTTCCCACTGATGTTAGCCTGTTTGCGTAGA